AAGGATCGCCAGAGCCCAGTAGGTTGAGGCTGCGGTGGCCAGGAGTGGCCACTGCCCTCCAGTCTGGGCGACAGAGTGAGATTCCAACTCAAAAAAATAAAATAAAATAATCAACTCTAGAATACCCAAGTGCTCTGCTGGCCAAGTGTCCATTCTAGCCTCCTCCCTGTACACCCACCCTGCTGGAGACTCCGTAGAGCAGAAAGGAACGTTTCCTAGATGTTCAGCAGTCAGGGCTCTGGCTTTGAATTCTGCTCACCATGTAAACCCTGATACTTCAGGGGAAGAAAGAGGAAAGGTGGGAATCTCTCTGTGGCTGGAGTGGGGAGCACAACATGGAGACGCCGGGTTTTTCTACAGCAGCATTTCCATGTCACCTACTAGTGTCATCCTGTCAAAGGCAAGCAGGGTGGCAGTGACACGCACCCCTTAGCTGTGGTTGCAGCCACAGGGGCATGTTGTGGAGCATAGCAGCAGTGTTTCCTGATTCCTTTTTTTTTTTTTTTTTTCGGTTGGAGTCTCATTCTGTCGCCCAAACTGGAGTGCAGTGGCCGCTCCCGGTCACCGCAGACTCAACCTGCTGGGCTCCAGCGATCCTTCCGCCTCAGCCTTCCAAGTAGCTGAAACCACAGGCGCGCGCTACCACGCCCGGCTAATTTTTGATTTATTGTGGAGATGAGGTCTCGCCAAGTTGCCCAGGCGGGTCTCAAACCCGCGGGCTCAGGCAATCCACTCACCTCAGCCTCCCAAGGAGCGGGATTTCAGGCTGAGCCACAGAGCCTGGCTTGATTCCTTCTTCATGACTCTGGCAGAGTCAGTGGCTCTCCTTGAAGGACAGTTTAGGAGTGTTCTCGGAAGAATTCCTGGGGGGCCAGTCTAGAGCCCTCACAAAGACCTTTCAATGATTTGTGGGTTTTTTGAGTCAGAATCTCACTCTGTCGCTCAGGCTGAAGTGCTGGGGCACTCTCACGGCCACTGCAATCTTCCAAGTAGCTGGAACCACAGGTGCGCGCCACCACGCCCAGCTAATTTGTTTGTTTGTTTGATTTATTGTAGAGACGATACCAGCTACCCAGGCTGGTCTTGAACCCATGGGCTCACGAAACTCTAGCCTCAGCCTCCCAAAGTGCTGGGATTATAGGCGTGATCAATGACTTTTTAAGTACCCAATTCCCTGTCTTGAACCACTTTCTGCTTCACGTGGCTGATTCTTTCTTTTCTTTTCTTTTCTTTTTTTTGAGTTGGAGTCTCACTCTGTATCCCAGAATGGAGTGCAGTGACATGTTCACAACCACTGCAGCCTAGACCTGCTGGGCTCAGACAATCCTTCCGCCTCAGCCTTCCAAGTAACTGGAACTATAGGCGCGCACAACCACATCCAGCTTATTTTTTGACTTATTGTAGAGACAAGGTCTCACCAAGTTGCTCAGGTTAGTCTTAAACCCCTGAGCTCAGTAGATCTCTCACCTTGGCCTCCCAAAGATCTGGCCTAAGTATCTGTTTCTATAATTGACCCCCGAACTAATACACATCTGTACAATGAAATCTTATGCAGACTTATATATAGTATGCAGATTTACATATAAATGAATAAAGTCAATTATATATAGTATAATATATACTAGATTATTCCAAGACATACGTGAAAAAATCAGTGTGCACAATGTAGTCCCATTGCCTTACAAAATAAAAGGCTTATGTAAAAATAAATATAAGCTCATAAGTGCATAGAAAATGTCTGGAAAGAAGCCAGGTGTGGTGGCTCACTCCTGTAATCCCAGCACTTTGGGAGGCTGAGGCAGAAGGATCACTTGAGCCCAGGAGTTTGAGACCAGCCTTGGCAACAATGAGACCCCATCCTTACAAAAAATTTTAAAAATTAGCTGGGCATGGTGGCATACCTGTAGTCCCAGCTACTCAAGAGGCTGAGGCAGGAGGATTACCCGAGCCCAGGAGGTCAAGGTTGTGGTAAACGATGATTGTGCCACTGTCCTCCAGCCTGTGTGAGAGAACAAGACCCTGTCTCAAAAAAATAAGAAGAGGAAGAGGAAGAAGATGAAGAATAAGGAGGAGGAGAGAAAAGAAAATATCTGGAAGGAGACAAACTGTTAAAAGTGAGTATCTGCTTCTGGAAAAGGAAATGGAAGGTTGGAATTTATTTATTTTTCAATAAATTGTTTTGCTGTTTTAAAAATCATTTTATGTATACACACACGTGCGCATATATGTAAAGTACAAATAAAAACAAAACTACTCAAAGAACAGCATCTTTTCCAGCTGTGTCCTTTCCCAGTAAGGCAGGGAAGGAGAGTAAGACATCTTACCATTGAAGGGGTTGTCTCCCCCGAAGAACTCATGGAAAACCTTTTCGGGGTTGCCGTGGAAGACGTAACCAGTTGTCCAAGGGGTCTGGGATCCAAACTCCAAAGGAATCCCGCCCTTCAGGCCCTCCTCTCCAAACTTGTCATAGATGCCTCTCTTCACAGCTGTGGATATGCATCACCTTGTGAAGGACTTTGGAGGCTGAGCTAGAGGAGGGGCTGGGAAGCAGGAGGATATGGACAAAGGGGAAGGGCAAAACCAGCCTTATTTCCAAAGTTCCTGCTGCCTGGTGGTCTTTGGATGAGACCTAGATGTTAGGGGATCCATTCATGCTGGGTGGACCTAGGTTTGGCCCTCATAGCCCAGAAGAGAAATGGGAAAGACTCGGGTTGGCTGAGGGCGGGGTGGAGACTGAAGGAAGAATGGAGCAACTTAGGGTCAGGTGATGGCCCCGGGATCCAGCCTAACGCAGCCATCATGGCCACTGTTTTATCTGGGGTGAATAGCATCCCAGAACCTTGACATTTTAGAATCTGGGAATTCTAGAGTTTCCAAATTCTAGTGCTTTGAAATCCTGGAGTCAGAAGTCCTGAAAACTCAGGGCTGAGGAAACCTTAGTGATTTTCTGACTGAACTTCTGCAGGAGCCAGGATTAGTCTCCAGGACCAGCCGGCAGGGAAACCCCGCCCCGTTCCCTCCCACCCTCCAGTGCCCCTCGCCTGCCAGCTCCTCTCCACTCCCCCGTTTTGGGGCAGGGAATCACACTTTCTCCACTCTGTGGCTTCCATAGAAGAGACATATCCTAACCACTCCCGGCCTTTCTCTGCCCCTTTGTCCTCCTGGCCCTGGGGAGATGGAGGTTCCAGCACGGGTAGATCCGGGAAGGACAGGTAGGCCTGCAGGCCCAGCTTCAGCCTCCTTCGCCGTCCTGTGGCAGCAAGCATCTCACGCCACTCCTCCCGGGAGGGTTCTGACGTGGGCAATGCTCCTGCTCTGCCCTGACTGGCTGAGCAAGTTGGCCTAATCCTGGGCCCTGCATGCCACGAGCTGGCTGTGTAGGCTGAGAAAGGTGATTCTTTTTTTTTGAGTTGGAGTCTCACTCTGTCGCCCAGACTGGAGAGCAGTGGCCGCTCCCGGCCACCGCAGCCCCGACCTGCTGGGCTCCGGCGATCCTTCTGCCTCAGCCTTCTGAGTAGCTGGAACTACAGGCATGCACTACCATACCTGGCTAATTTTTTTTGATTTATTGTAGAGATGAAGTCTCAGCAGGTTGCCCAGGCAGGTCTGGAACCCGTGGGCTCAAGCAATCCACTCACCTCAGCCTCCCAAAGGCGCGGGATTACAGGCTGAGCCACCGAGCCTGGCTGAAAGGCGATTCTTAACACTGTTTTCTCTGTTTCTCTAGATTCCAGGCAGGGAAGAGGGATGCTTCCTCTCTCTGGAGTCCCTCAGAAAACCCAACAGTCTAGAGACTTAAGGAACAATCTTAATGGAGAGGTGGGCGAAAGAGAAGATCTGGAGTGACCCTGCATGCTCAGCCCCTTGGTCACTCACGGTCACTCAGCACGTCGTAGGCCTCTGCTATCTGCCTGAACGTCTCTGGTGAAGACAGGTCATTTGACCTCAACGGGTGGTTCTTCAGGGCGAGTTTCCGGTACCTACAGGAGGGAGGGTTTATGCAAGTCATAGCAGCTGACCTGCTTCTGAGAGCAGACCACAGCTCATAGCTGGTGCCACTGTCCCCTGCCTAGCTATAAATCGGGGTGACTTCACAGGCCATGGTGGCCTGGAAGTGCATTGCTCAGATCTCCTTGAAGAGTGCCTGGCTAGGGAGCCTAGTTGGCTGCCAGTCCCAGCAGCTGCCCCCTAAACATTCATGCCAAGCCTGCCCCGGCCAATGTCTGCATGTGGTGGGGATATCAGGGCCAGCCATTCCTGCAAAACACAGGACTCTTCCGTCAGGCAAGCTTCGCTGGAGGGCTCCCCACCAGCCTGCTGAAATTCCTTCGGCCACACTGCAACTTTCCCTCTGCCATCCTTCCTTCCCTGTCTCCTTTTGCAGGGACCAGCCTTCAGCATGCTCTGTCCCTGCCCTGCTTCTTTTACAGGGGTCTCCCCAGTGCATTTTGTGCACATCTAATCCCGGTTGCTTCTTAGAGGACCGGAAGTGACACCCGGGTTTCTTGGGGGATGAGATGAAATTGGGTGTACAAAGGGCCCAGCTCAGAGAGGTGCAAGGGGCTGGTCAAGTTCATGCACTGTCTCCCACTGAGCTCATTCCTTCTCCACTTGTGTTCCTGCTCAGGCCCATCAGGGTGGGACACCCGCAGCATGCGGGAATACAGATCATCAGTGTCCTAGGAGGGAAGAGATGGCACAGACTGGGTGGTCTGTGGAGAGTTTAATAGAGGGACCATTCACTGAGGTGCAGGAAGAGGGATGGGAGACCACGAGGGGCAGCGCAGGACCCGAGGCTGGGGACCCTGAAGTGCCTGGGTCACCGCTGAGTCTGTGGGTGTGGGAGGGCGGAGAGCGGTTATGAACCCTGGAAGGAGAGAGTGTGGACAGGGCCCTTGGCAGGAGCTGTGACTGAAGGAAACCAAGAGCACAAGCTGACAGAGTCCTTGTGTTCTTTGTTTTACGTTCAAGGAACTCAGCCTACATTTCCTTTTTCTCCCCTGGCCTTTTGGTTGCATGCCTGGAACCTGCTCATCCTAAGTGATTGCCTTGCTTAGCATAGATGTTAAGATATGCAAGGCTTAGTCATTGATACTTACCCTGCTTGTGTGATTTAACTCAGAAATTAACATATCCTGTGTGTATGGTTTCGCCTTCCTTTGTGAGATTTTTGTCCTATATAAGAGGCATGCAGTAAAATAAATTTGCTCTCTCGCCCCTTGCTATCTCGCCCCTTGCTATCTGAGAGGGAGTCCTCCCAATCCTGCTGTTTCTCTTTCTCTTTCTTTTCTCATTCCCTCCCCCCAACTCAGGCCCTGATCAGCAGAGGCTGGACCCCTGCACGTGACCTTCTGTTAAGGGACGTAGCCAAGCTGCAGAGACCTGATAGGAAGGGAGCGGGGGAATAAAACCCACCCCCCACCTCCTCCCTACCCTCTCTGCCCCCCCTTCCCTCTTGATGTCCTGTCCTGGTTCCCCCTCACAGGTTGTATCAGGATGCCCAAGGGCAGGAAACCTAACGGTGCCACCATCACCCATCAGACTCCCAAAGCTTGAGCGGCTGAGGAAGGTGGAGGAGCAGGCTTGAGAGCCAAACAGAAGGCATTCAGCATAGACTCCTTCCCCTGCCCACACCTGCCGTGTTGGTGTCCCCTTTTGTCCTTTTGTTTCTATTCTCACTCCAGAGACACGCTCGCCTCTCCATGGTTGATGACTCCACATCTCTGCCTCAAGCCAGACACTTCTCTGAGCCCTGGACTTCTGCACCTGCTTCCATCCCCTCTCCAGTGTTCTGCAGGCACCACAGATTAAATGAGCCCAAACGTGAGCACTCGCTCATTGCCTAATTTTCCCCAGGCACTGCAGTCAGAAATTTGAGCACAATTTTGGACTCCGAGTCCCCCTTTGTCCCCTCCACCACATCCAATCAGACACCAAGTCACGTCAGGTTTTCCTTCTAGAGAATGCTCTGTGCCTGCCTTTTTATTCCTGTAACTACTGCAGCACCATGTCTTCCTGTATCCAGAAGTCCTTCTCCAATCCACTGTGTGCTGCCATTGCATTGACCTCTATCTCCTATCTATCTATCTATATTCCTTTCTCTGTCTCTCTCAGTCTCTCCTTAGTGCTGATGCTTCTAAAATACTCTCTGGTATCTGACTGGAGCCACAGATACAGAATCTGAATTGTTCTTACTGAAACACAGCATGGAATTAGCATTAAACAAAACAAACCTAAATTAAAATACTCTCTGACCAAGGCACTCTCCTGCCAAACCCCTCACAGCTTCCCTGTTGTCTCCACCATAAAATCCGAATGTCTCGCACTAAGACTCAAGCCCCTATCACCGCACTCCCTCCCGCCTCCACGACCTCTCCTGCCTGGCTCTGAACCTCTCACCACCCTGCGTGCACACCGTACTCCCCTTACCTGTAACACTCGTCCCTCTGCGGCGCCCCTCTCAGCTCCTCCTGGCTATTTTTTTTTGAGTTGGAGTCTCACTCTGTCACCCAGACTGGAGTGCAGTGGCCG